CCTAACCGTAAGACCACTGAGCCAGTATCTGACGGTGTTACTGTCAAACTTGATCAAATTCACGGAGTTTCGCAACCTCATACACTGTCTTCGTGAGACACTGCCTACACCCGAACAGGTTGAACTTCACAGTGGTCATGTCTTCCCACTAGAACTCGAAGAAGATTCCTCACGAAGCTAGTCACTAGTGAGCACAGGTAATTTGCATTAATTTGTCAAGGCATTTTGACATGAAGATGGATAAAGGTCAGTTATGAATAAAATTTCAAATAGACATAAGGTGATAACTGAAAATAAAGGAGAGAGAAAATTAACGTAATATGAAAAGAATAAGAAAGGGTAGGAAAATTGTCACATTACACTAGGCTTAAAGATTACCAGGGTTAAGACAGATTGTTTCTTTTCTCATAAGGGGGGTTTTAATTTTCTAATAGCCAAAAGCTACAAAAACCTCAAAATTCGTTCTTCAACATTTCTATACAATGTTTTGAAGGCTGTCTTGATGTCAATCTTATGCCCTATCTCAATTGTGTTTTTTTCGATCGATGAACATGGTTTTCTATTTCCAACGCTATTCGGCTCATCTGACGTTAGTTACATGTTCCATAAGCCTTGATTGCGATGTAATCATTCGAGCAACGTTCAGGTATATGTGAAATCATGGACAATTTTCCTACCCTTTCTTATTCTTTTCATATGACGTTCATTTTCTCTCTCCTTTATTTACAATTATTACCGTATGTCTATTTGAACTTTTATTCAATTGACCTTTTATTCATCTTGATATGCCTTGACAAGTAAATATATGTGACCAGATTGTTGGAACTGTGCGTAGTGCGCAGATACATCACCTATTTTCAGATCAATTACGTCGTCTTTTCACTGTTCTATAAAAATTTATAAAAGCGACTAATCATTTCAAATGAATTTATCAATCATTGTTAGGTCATGTTTAGAAACCTGTAAGTATTGAACTCTTATTTCATTCCACTGCAGAACTCATCATCAATACGAATAAACGGAATGTTTTCAGTATCTCACTAACACCAACCTCTTGACAAATTTGCCGTCATTCAAACTCAATGAATTCACTACATTTCGTCATGATTATCGTTTTTCTCCGATGGGTAACTAACCGCCTTACACTCAGTATGATTCAACTTCACTGATCATGGCTTCTCTCCAGGGCTTCGAGAATTTCCTCACAAAAGCAAGCCGCTAGTGAATGCATGACAGTCAAGGTTTTATTCACTTGTTTGCTGCGACAAAATGCGTTATTGTAAATTATTCAATGAGAAAAGTTAATTAATTTGTATTCATTACTTACGTGTTTAACTCATTACGTTAAGTTGATTTTGAATATCTTTTAGGAAAATTCGTTTAACTACAAAAAATGTGGTGAACAAATCAAATAATCATTTATTCAAACAAACCTCGAAATAAATTTAGCCTAACCTTTTTTTAAATTTGTTACACTGGTAAAAAATTTATTTCAAGTTGGCTTTAAATTGAAATGCAAATGTTGTTGCTTCCAGAGATTGATTTACATTTCACTACGTAAATATTAACTACTTCACAAAATATGTTTACTAACCTAGATGGACATTGTATTTACGGATGCGAGATTCTAGTTCTCTAATCAAGATACCTAATTCTAAAGTACCTGAGAAAAAACAGTTAATACAAAATCAACTTATAATAACGTCAAATTAAATTTTTATGAAGATCAGTGAATTTCATTCAAGTCATGAACCACCAATCAATATGTTAATTAACGATTGAAAAAAAAACTGAAATTAACCAAATAGCCCCATTTTCCTAATATGGGACGACACTCCAACACTGTTCATATATGATATGTTCAGATTTTTTTTTTAAGTACCGTACTGTTACATATAACGAACCACAAGATTCATGTGCCAAATTCTTCGTAGTAGTGTGAAAACTGTTATAAATCATTGAAATCTCAGTATATTATAGTGATGTGCAAAAACATGTTTCACAGTACCACCGAATTTTAAATATATATATCATTCACAATAAATGTATTACTGGTGTGTATTGAATGTCATTGAAATATCTGAATTACTGTATGTTACCTTTAGGATAAGTTACTCCATTTTTGTAGCAGGGATGAATTTCCATTTCTTTAAATATATAAAATATGAGTTTCATATGTTTTAAACTACTGACCACAAAAGTCTCTCGAAAGTAAAATTCAAAAATTACATTTAAGATTTTCTTCAGTCACTGACTAGTGGAGTGAGTCATGGTGGCAGATGTAGACTGCCTGGTTGGGGTCCGCGAGACGAAAGTCGCCAATGGCCAGAGACCTTGAACGACATGGCTCAGAATCGTTTGCAATGGAGCAAGTGCATCCATTCGTTGAGCTCTCTAAAATCCTAATCTTCTCGATTCGTCAGCACCTCTACCTTTGTCTTTCTAACCTTATCTCACTGAATTATACTTCTTGAATAATATCTTCAAACCCTAGTCTTCTTCATTGGCATCAATACCCCGCAGGATTTGAATTCAGGACCTTCGGTATTGTGCGCGAACGCCCTTACCGTTAGACCACTGAGCCGGTTCAGGAGTCGTGGATGCGCACAGCTGAGGAGTCCCATACTAGGACGAAACGGCCGTCCAGTGCTTTCAGGTTTCTAATGGTGGTCTAACATTGATCGATTCATGGTTTCAAAAAATGTGTAACTTAACAATCTTCACAACCCCGTAATGTAATTACTATTTGATGAATTACTTACGAGGTGATTGATTTCACATGAGAAATTAGCAAATTTCAATATTTTTTTTAATTATTTGTAAAATTAGAAAATTCTTGTAATTCATATTTTATTATTTCATTTGTGAAACGACAATCAAAAACATTATTATATATCTTACCTTGAAATACTTTAATATGATTAGCGAAACATGTATCCCACGTTTTTGAATTAGTGACGTCTTCTTAACATAGAGAGTAAAGGTTTAATTTAGAACAACGTTAATTTTTATTTGGAAATGATATAAACAAGTAATTTGAAAGTATCATTCATTTAAATGAATATAATATATTCATCAGTTTATGTGTTGCAGTACAGTAGTTATTGTGATTGGGCAGCATCATCGACGAGAAAGGTGGATCCGATGCAGATGTGAGGGCTCGGATTGGCAAAGCAAGGGCTGTATTTCTACAGTCGAAAAATATCTCGAACTCCAAACAACTTTCAACCAAAACCAAAATCAGGATTTTCAATACAAATGTCAAGACTCTTCGATTGTATGGGGCGGAAACATGGAGAACTACGAAAGCCATCATCCAAAAGATACGAGTATTTAATAACAGTTGTCTTCGCAAAATACCTTGGGTTCGTTGACCATACACTATCAGCAACAACGTACTGTGGGAGAGAACAAACCGGATTCCGGTGGAGGATGAAATCAGAAAGAAGTTATGGAAGTAAATAGGACACACATTGAGGAAAGCACCCAACTGTGTCACAAGACAAGCCCTCACATGGAACCCTCAAGGCAAAAGGAAAAGAGGAAGGCCAAGGAACACATTACGCTGAGAAATAGAGAAAGATATGTGAGTAATGAACATACATTGGATAGAATTGGAGAGGGGAGCCCAGGACATAGTTGGTTAGAGAAAACTGGTGGGCGGCCTATGCTCCATTGTGGGTAACATGCGTAAGTAAGTAAGTAAGTCATTATTGTGATGAACATTATTGTATTTCTTCATTTCAGATATAAATTGTACATGACATTTATTTTGCATTACTTGTGAATAAAGAGAATGTTCCCAAGAAGTCTTACTATAAAAGTCTGTCTTCAATGATTTCAAAAATTTTTTCAAACCTAGGACGATGCAGGAATAAACGAAAATTAGCAGTTGAAATTATTGAATGAAACATAGCTATCGCTTTAATTACGCAAACAAATGACGACATTGTTTCATCATGTATGACTTCACATTTCACATATTAACTATCTAGCGGAATCAGTTCCTATTTTAACAAGGAAGTAATGTTCTGATTTGGTTATAAATGTTTTCTAGTAAGCATTGTAAATCAATCAGTCAATAACATGTTGTGATAGGCATGTATTTAAGTGCGTTTTATGAAGCCAATTAAATATTTATGTTATAACCCCTATATAGCACTATAAGTAGTTACGGAACACTGATCATATAAAATACTTATCGAATACAAGCTTTGTCGGTGTATTTAAGTCGCATTTTGACAGAAGTGAACATTTATTTTATACCAACACAACAAATCTCTAGAAAATGTTGCGTTCTATTGAAAGCATAATAACACTGTTGTTTATGAATAAAAGTGCCGACGTGTAACATTCATTATATTAGATTATTCAAGTGTGGATGACCTTCGAAAAGTAAAACATAAGTTCATCAATGTCGAAGTTATTTATCGAATATCAAACAAAGTTTTTTCGAATTATTCGTCTAACCTCCTGTAGCGAATAAGCCCATAGTGCCTTTCACTCTATGAGTTGTACAGGTTACATCTAGAATCACAAATGTTGATAAACTGAATTGCTATTGTTTCACATACAATCATCAATAAAGTTATTTTCACTGGTCATCTTTGTTTTCAATTCATCTGAAGAAAACGTAAAATAAAAAGTTTTTTTCAGAACGTTATGTAATTTATTTGTTAATTGTAAACTGTGACACCATTTTGCAAAAATGTACTTTGTCAATTACTAAAATAAAGAATTTCAACGGTATATGTTGTTAATTTGAAAGCCGCACATATTATTCATTCTGTTGACAAGTGTCCACACTAATGTTATGCTAGCATTCACTATCTGTTTAGATTTTTCTCAAAAAATTCCTACCTACGAACCTGAAAAATTAGGACTAAACGATCTGAATTCTATTTAAATTGATGTTTTCGCTCAGCATGTTTGAAATTTTGATGATATCGCATCCGTTTTGTTTCGTGTGTTCTGGCGTCTTATGATTTTTGGGATACAATTCAAGATAGAGGGACGTCCGATTTCCGATCTTAAGGTTGCTGAAATTCGCAAGAAGCTAGAAAAGCGCAACAAAGATAAGACAGGTGTCAAACAGGTGTTGTTGGATAGTCTGAAAGAGACCCTAGAGAAAGATAGTCAGGACCCCCAAACTTATCGTTTGAGAGATGGGATTGAAAGTATCAAAACTGACCAAGAACTTCCCGAACATTCGCCTGTAAACGGTGACGGACCAAGAGCTGAGAAATCTGAACCCACCGCAAAAAGACATAGCTCGTCAGATGACGTATTAAGCAATGAGTATGTTATCAGTGAACGTTCACTGCAGAAAAAATTACCAAAGAAACTCTCCCATACGTCGTTCAAGTTGGAGAGCAAGAGGAAGATTTACATTTTGATTGGAAGTGTGGAAACGACGTATCAGAAGTGACAAATGATAGCAAAGATGTCCAAATCAAAAACGAAGGATTTGGCAAACATGAAAACCAACCAGAAAGTGCAGTTATCATTCACCAGATTAGTGGTATGTCCTATTTCATTTAAGTCACTTTACGTGTCAGAAAGCTGTAAAAATTTATGGATAAGTAACTAACCGAAATTAGTGAGGGCCTCAAATTTAAAGCAACATTTTATCAAGGCAGGGAAGTTAGTATCAGCTACTGTGGTTATGAACACCCGTTCACCTGTAAGTTGCTTTGGATTTATACAGATGGCTTCTACAGAAGAAGCAGCATCCGCTACCAGAGCTTATGATTTAACAGAGTTTGGAGGATGCATACTACGGGTTGAAGCAACAGAACGAAAGGCACCAATTCAATCAAACAAAGCAAATGATCGAATATCTGGACTAAACAAATTAGAAACGTCAAGTGTTCCTGATTCTCATCGTACAGTATCCAGACCACTGATATCTCGAAGTCGTTATATTGCGAACAGACGGCGATTGTTGCGTCGTGCTGCGATATGAAGTGCTATTTGGAGTGAACAATTTTTGGGTAACCATAGTTGATAAGCTGAAAGTTTATTTGAAAATACTTTGTCGATCGTTCAATAACATGAAAGCATGCTTGAACATCAAACACCATCAATGATACCAGTTAACACTACAGAGTTGATCAGTAGTCAGTTCATTTTTTTTTAATTACGGTTAAATTTAACATATTACTGAAGAAAAAAATTTACTTGTTTCGGTTTGTAATCTGTCTTCATAGTGTGTTACGTTGCCTATTGCATAATTTACTTCCACTAGATTTTGAATAAAAAAACAAGTAACAAGTCGAAAAAATATCTTAATGAGTAATATACATTGATGAATATAAAGATTATTTTCATTACAGGGGTTGTGAAGATTGGTGAGTTACACATTTTTGAAACCATGAAAATTACCTGTGCTCACTAGTGACTAGCTTCGTGAGGAATCTTCTCCGAGTTCTAGTGGGAAGACGTGACCAGTGAAGTTCAACCTGTTCGGGTGTAGTCAGTGTCTACCGGAGACTGTGTATGAAGTTGCGCAACTCCGTGAATTTGACCAAGTTAGCGATTAACACTGTTAGATACCGGCTCAGTGGTCTGACGGTTAGGGCGTTCGCGCACAATACCGGAAGTCCTGGGTTCGAATCTTGCGGGGTGCGAGAGTCGTGAATGCGCACTGCTGAGTAGTCTCATACCAGTGCTTCCGGGTTTCTAATGGTGGTCTAACATTGATCGATTCATGGTTTCAAAAATAAAGATTATTCTCTAATTTTCATCTTCAAATTAAAAATTATAATGACATAATATACAAACGAAGATAACGAATGTCAATAGAGTCTCAATAAGGCTTAAGTCTTTGTATGAAAATGGCAAATCTTTCTATTATTGTTGATGCGATCAAGTGGGTTTGATCTTTTTTAAAAAGATTTGCTAATGAAATTGTAGTTATTTGTTTGGTATGAAAATGTCATCAATTGATCTACTGAGAAGACTGCATCAGGCGCGGAATATTGTATTATGCAAATTTACTCTCTTAGTCAATTAAAAACGAAAACATTACACTAAACACTCTATTTGCACACCATCTTTGAGTCGTGACTTCCAACGCTCTATCCTTCTTCCATTGCTGTTGTTGCCTCCATTCCTTCCTGTTGGTACTCCATTTACTTCTTGCTTTCCGTTTTCCTCATCTGACCGTGAGACTTTATCTTTCACGTCCCATCTAATACTACTTATATCGTTCGTATAAGTAGCACACACCACACTACCAAATAATAATTATTGAAGTATACTAGTAACATATATTGAGTCAGTCAGTTGAGGTATGTGTGATGATATTTTTCGGGTATATTAGAACAAAAATATGCTTGACATAGACTTACATAGGTTAGCATCCAACATTTTTTTTACTTTCTCTATCGGTTTATATAAATGTTCTGAAACAAACGAGAACACAATGTTGACATAAATATTTTCGATTAGATTATGTCGTTAATATACACGAACAATGAAATTTTTCAGTCTTTTTTAAAAAAAAGTTGATACAAATTGATTTGTTAGTAGAAAAGAAGTTAGGTTTACTACACTTGGTATATTAGAACAACACATATACTTACTTACTTACTTTCGCCTGTTACCCCCAATGGAGCATAGGCCGCACACCAGTTTTCTCCAACCAACTCTGTCCT